GGATAGCTGGCGGGATTCGGTTTAACAAGATGGCAAGTGTATCTGATTGGAAGCGCAGGCTCCCAGAGTCAACTGTTGAGCCGGTCAACTCCCCACAGACGTCTACCTGTCAGCGACGGAATTAATTTCAGGCAGAAGCAGAAGTTGTGATGAAACTGCTTGATTACCGTTGGGGTGCCTTGCTAATTTTATCTGCTAGGACACACGCTATCCGATAGGACTCCACCTTTCAAAGTGTGCGCCCTGAGCTAGATTGAACAAAATATTTAATAAGAGAGCTGTCAAACGGCATGTTAGGTAATTTGGGAGGTTACATTTTCAAATGAAACTTCAGGCAAAGTGCTGTTGACTTTGCTGTCACCTTTCCTTTTAGAAGTAAAGTTCTTACGGAAACTTAACCCCTTGCATCTCTTTTCATATTTGTTGGGGGTAACAGATCAGAAGTGAAGTACAGATAAGAAAAAAGAGCTATACCCGGAGCTTATTTTTCTTTTTTAATAATTTATGTATAAGATTTTTAAAAATTAATAATGAGAAAAGTACCGCAAAAAATCATAATTTAATGTAATACAATCATTGGGCCTTTCACCTGAGTTGAAGCATATACTACATGCATATACAGTATACACTGTACACAGTATATAAAAAAAAAAGACCAAACTGTGACATTTTAAAAATAATTTTTAACACTGAAAACAAAGTGTACTCAGACTTTCTATCTTTGTTTCTAGTGTCCGACATCCCCAGAGTTGCGCTGGTTGTGCCTAATGAGAATGATCCCGCTCAGTTTCCAATAAAGCTCATCTCTAGTAATTAAAGAAGTGTCTCAGGAAGGGGCGGAAGCAATTTTCCACCACAAATGGAAGGAAGATCATCTCTTCACAGGGGAATTTACAAGGAATTAGGGGAAGACATTGCGGTCGGTGTCTTCACGGAATTCAGGTCAGGCTAAGGTGGCCTTGTTAATCAGAACACAGGCTGAATTAAGTGGTGAATTATGTTGCATAATGTAATGGATTTAAGGCATGTTATAAGTGAATCCCTTCACATGATATCAA